ATGGCTCTGAACCAGCAAGCTCTATGAAAAAAAAAAAAAACAAAGAGGTCCTTCCAAGGTCAGCTGGCCAGCAGAATTGGAAGTGAACAAAGATGTGCTTTAGAGTCTTCAGTTACTGAAATCAGATAACTTATTTTCTTGCAAGCAGATAAAAACAGCAAATTCCTAGAGTTTTCATAACATTGAAATAAGCCCTTGAGAATAATATTCCCAGTTTTCTTCACTTCAAGTATTTTTTTTCTCAGATATCAAGTCTATGGACACAAGCAGTGGTCCATGAAAGGATCAGTTATTCATTTAAAGTCTCACTTTTATCAGGAGAGGGCTCTGTGCTCAGGAATGACTTTCAACTACTTGGTCAAGTCAGTTTTCTCTAGCCTTTCAGCTTTGTCAGCCTGGTGAGAGGAAAAAGTTGTGAGCAGAGATCTTCACCTGGCCTGAACCAGGCCTGGTTGCTGATAGGAAAGCAGGTTCCAAAGCATAGGTCAGAAAGGCTTTCATAAATGAATGTGATCCCCAACACACCTTCAGAAAACGAGTGACTAGGAATCTAGAATGAACAGATAGCAAGAATGGCTCCAGTAAAATGGCCAGATGGAAGGTTTGAGCCCAAAACTGAGGAGAGAAAGTAGAGAGACTAGAATGGTTGTCACTCCTGAATTTTCAGTCCAAGCTAAGCAAACCCGAACATGCCTGTTCAGGTATAACCCACTAAAGTTGGGTAAGACTGTTCATTTAGGGTAGCATTTGCAAAGCCATGTGTATTCCCTTTAAAACCAATTCCCTCTTATACCCACGTCCTAAGGGAGCCATTGTTAATTGTTGACAGGAACAGGTAGGTAGAGGCTGAATGTCAATCCTCAGTTCCCTGAATGTTGGCAGAAAACTAGCCATACAAGTTTAAGTACTTACAAGTTTAATTTTCAAGCGTCACTTCACTGCCAGAACTTTTCTTGTGATTGGCATAAGAGTATCAACTACCAAGTAAAGTTGAAATGAAGTGCTTTGTCCTGTGTTAGTCACTATCCCAAGCAGATCTTTGGAGTTGCCACACCAGCCAGTGGAAAAAAAACCCATGTTGGGAGTAAGCTGTGGAAGACAAGGCAGCTAAGTGATCTGAGCCGCAGGTGAGCAAGTTTGGCAGCCATGTGGTGACTAACAACATTCCATTGTCAGTGCTCACAGAGGAGCACCAAGAGCCAAGAGCTATCTGTCCAGAGGGGTGAAAGGGAAAGCTGCCCTAAACAAGAGACATCTTCCAGGAAGCAGAGATTGGGGGGGGGGGTTTCATACTGTACTCCTGGGCTCCTTCATGATATAGCTCTTATTTCTCCTGAATCCATTCATTCTTTCAACAGATATTTGACAGAGCTAGGTGCTAGGAAAGTAGTGAACAAAAGTAGACATGTCCCACCTCCCATACAGCCAAGGCATGAATCCAGCAGTTACATAATGTAATGTGTCAGTGGTCCTGTGATGATGCTTCAAAGGAGAATATAGGTATTTGAGACTATGAGAGTGTAATAGGGCACCTTCTTGACCATAGCTACACCATGTTAAAGTTTAGGCTGACTCTAGTCTCTGAAATTATCAGGCAGTTGGCCCAGGGTATGGGAACACATGTCAGCTGGACCCTGGTTGTCTTGAGAACAGGTCAGACTGTACCAGAGTGCACTTGCTAACTGCAGATTTATGGCTTCTGTAGGTTATGCTTGGCTTGCTTCTGCAAAATAGTAATTGTTGCTTAATAGAATAGAAACGGAACTCTCCACCTGCAAGGTTGCAAACTTCAACTTTTCACCCCTGGTTATGGTTTTTTCTGTATAAAAGCTTAACCTAGAGATGGCTCAGTGCTACACACTTGGGTTCCCAACACCTTTATGTAGTAGCCCTGACCAGCAAGCACCCCACAACAAGAGTAGGAAAAAGGAGAATTTGACTTGGCTAGGGATCTCAGGCCGGCTTTCTAGGCCATAGATGTACTTAGAAGGAAAAGCAGGTAAAAATAGGAAAGGTGGTCTCAGCAGGATGACAACTAGGGACATGTTGCCCTCTTTATAGCGCAGCGTTGCGGCTAGGTCTGACACCACTCCTGGGTTTTCAAGCTCTCCCAGTGCAATCCTTTCCAGGTGAGTGCTCTGCAGCCTCCTCTGCACCCTCATGCGCTCTACATCACCTAGAACCTATTCATTCTTTTCAACTCAGCTTCAACTGGGAATCTTTCCCCTTATCCTTTATTATTTTTTTTCATTTTATGTGTATGCATTTATTACCTGCATGTAGGTAAATGCATCCATGCCGTACAATGCCCACGGAGGTCAGAAGAGGCTGCTGGATCCCCTGGAACTGGAATTACAGACAGTTGTTAGCTGCCATGTGGGTGCTGGGATTCGAACCTGGGTCTTCTGCAAGAACAACCAGTGTTCTTAACCACTGAGCCATCTCTCCAGCCCCCCTTATCCTTTCTTGAGCCAGGTAGAGATGCTCCCCAATGGGATCTAATTACGTCCAAAGTTTCCCCTTTCACCAGTTAGCACCTTCCCTGTCAGGTTGTGAGTTCCTTGGAGATAGGAACTGAACCTTGTTCTTTGAGATCCTAAGTGCCTTCCACGGTGCATGAGTCAATGAGCAATAAATATTAGTGCAAGGAGGAAAGAAAGTTATCTGTCATTATGATAGCAGTAACAGTGATAGCTAGTATTTAAATGTCGCTTTCTGTGCGCTAGGTACCTATTAACCAGCCTAAAGGGTGGATATTATGTTTTTGCCATTTTACAGAATCTTTTTTGTTTTTGTTTTGTGGTCTTTTTGAGACAGGATCTCCCTGTAGCCCCAGCTCTCCTGGAACTCACTATGTAGACCAGGCTGGCCTTGAACTCACAGAGATCCACCTGCCTCTGCCTCCCAAGTGCTGGGATCATTTTACAGAATCTTTTAAGCCTTTGTTCCTGATCTGTGAAATGCAGATTGTAATAATACTTACTTCATAAGATTAGAATTATGGAAGGTAAGTTTTAGGGTTTGAATATGAAATGTCCCCTGCAGGCTCTTTTGTTAAAACTAGGTCCCCAGCTGGTGGTGACATCTGGGGAAGTTCTGGAAACTTTGGGAGGTAAAGTTTAGTTTCAGGAAATATGTTACCAAGGTCATGCTTTTGAAGACTATACTATGTCTCCAATCCCTCCCCCTCTCTGCTTCCTGTTTGCCAGGAAGTAAAGAACTCCCCCACCACATACTTCTGCCAACATGATGCCCCACCCAAGCTCATAAGGTTGAGCAACTATGTACTGAACCCTTTGACACCACAAGCAAAAATAATTGTTTCCTCTCTTGTTTATGTCAAGTATTTTAGCACAGTGACAAAATAAGTAACTTAAGTAACTAAAACATTAAGCAAACTGCACATATGTGTGGCAAATACTGGCTAAATACTGCTTGCTGTTACGGTGGTGTACAAGCGCAGAGGCAAGAGCCTAAAGCCCTGGTTCAGAGACTCCAGTTTTTAGGGAAGAAAGAATGACATTGAACTGACCTGACGATGACCAGTACAGCACATTGAAGACCTGGTGTGGAATCCACATTGAAAGAAGGGACAGGTCGTTCCTCCTACCTCCAGTCCCTAGCAGTCCTCAGAAAGGGGTCACAGCTGGAAAGAGCCTTCAGGTCTCCAGATACAATCACTGTGGATTCCTAATCCAACAGATTAAACTTTCCCTTCAGTTAGTAATAGCTTTACACTACTGTCACTGTGTGTGGTGCCAGTCTTTGACATTGAAACAAGATATTGTCATCTACAAAGTTCACAGGAGAATTGCACAAACAAGTTTTTAAATGAAAAAAAAAAACCCTTCAGAGTGGTTTAAGTAAGTTTATGATTTTGTGTTGGCCACATTCACAGCTATTCTGAGGTGCATATGGCTCATAGGCCGCAGGTTGAACGTGCCTGATTCCTAGGACAATTTGGTAACTAAGAGAGAACATGATCTGGTGTTAAATATGGAATTTGAAGTCCATCACTCAAATTTGAGCACTGAATACTACTACCAACCTTAAGCATGTGGCCGAGATTTTCTGAGCCTTAGTTTTGACACCCATAAGCTGGGCATAATACAACCCATCATTCAGTAAGAAGATTCATTCCTTCCCCCACCACCTGAGACTCAGTATCTTCATAAGAAAAACAGGAATAAAGTATGCCTGTATCACAGAAGTGATATTTAAATTGGTTCATCTGTAAACTCCACAGCATTATGTAGTTATCTGAAACCATAAGTCAGTCATAAATACTTGTGATACTTACTATATACTGTGGTTTGTGATGGTAAACGAGATAGAGGTTGGCTGAATGAAGTTTTTACCTTCTGGAGAGCACTGCTAAGAGAGAAACCCATTCTTCCCCCTGGTCCAGAGAGAAAAGGCAACTAAGCCAAGGGAAAGGCCTTTGTGGCCTGCACAGCATCCAAGTTCCTGGCACTTGGCCCTCCCTGGGGGATATCTGATCACCTAACCCCAGCCATTATCTGAAAGCTTGCCCAGACTGCCTGACACAGGGCTCCAGAGACAGGAGTGCCACATGATTTCCAAAACTTCAAAATAACCCCAGGAACCAACAACAGTGTCCTGAGTGCAGAAGGGAAGGAGGGCTGATGAAGGGGGCCGTGAAGGACAAGGGAAGGAAAATGACCAGAGGTTTCTGTGAGTCTGCTGCAGTGGAGTGATCATTTCAGTGCTCTGATTTCCAGCCAACCAGGCCTACTGCTTTTAAGCTCCCTTTTTTCCTCTTTACCTCTTCCTTCTGAGACATGAGTAAAGGATGGAAGGTTTCTTACCCAACCATGATTCAGGAGGTAGCTCTGCCACAGAACAGGCCAGTATTGCACTGCCTTAAAAAAAAAGAACTTGTAGAGGCAGGTCCCAGATAGATCCACCCCAGATTTTTCAAAGAAGGCAACTCCTTCATCATGCAGCATAAGATCTTCCAAGTTCAAGAAGAAACCATCTTTTCACATTGATCACCTGACTCAAGGTGCCCATCAGGCTCCCTGTGAGTAAAACAGAGGCTTTACTGCAACATGACCCACAGGGGTAATACAGGACTTGTCTACCATCTGAAATTTATGACTCTTTTGTTTGCCCTAAGTCCAGAACTTCTGTTCCTAGGAGCCGGAGTACAACTTCAGGACAATGGGTACGATGGATTACTTGTTGCAATTAATCCTCAGGTACCAGAGAATCCGAACCTCATCGCAAACATTAAGGTGAGTGGTTTTTATATAGTCAATAGCAATATCCTTTTAGATCAGATATGTAACCATTGTTAGATGATAACCCCACCTGGTCTGAACATAAACAGTAAAGAGAACGGCATTTCTTAAAGACAGCACAAAAATCAGGATTACGGGTACACCAGCTAGTCTACCTAATTGTGTGCAGTCTCACTAACGGAGCCCCTTTTTCGTTCTTGATTTAGTGCCTATCAGTTTTAGGGCTTTATTGTAGGTTTCATAACTGTTCTCTGGAGAGAAGTTTAGAGAAATAAAAGTTCACTGTGGGGAAAAGTGACAGGATGTTTGATGAAGGAATTTGATAGTGTATATTAAAATCATCATGTTGGATCTCATATGGAGGGCTAGAATTCTCAGAGGGTGATAGTCCGTATTGGGTGCCAGAGAGCAAAATTCTTTGTTTTCTCCCAATGTTCTAGAAAATTATCAACTATTTTCACTTTAATATGGCAAAGGATGATCATTGCTTAAGAGTCTCTTTGTGGTATTGCTTAAGTGAACAGTATCCTCCTCCTAAGATATGCGCCTGAACATGCCCAGGGGTGTGACATAAAGATTTGTTCAGTAAAACCTTAAAACATTTTCAGAAACTTGGGGAAATCCTGAGAGCAAGTCCTGATAAACCATGTGATATTTTTTAAAAAAATCTTTTGCTCCTAAGTTTTCATGGGTTCATTCAAAATGTTTTAATGACTTTTTTTCATGTTGTTTTAAGTATAACCAGAAAGACAAACATAAAGGATCTGCAAGCAATAGCTTTTTCTTTGTTTGGTTATAGGAAATGATAACTGAAGCTTCTTTTTACCTGTTCAATGCTACCAAGAGAAGACTGTTTTTCAGAAATATAAAGATTTTAATACCTGCCACTTGGAAAGCTCATAATTATAGCAAAGTAAAACAAGAATCGTATGAAAAGGTAAGGATTCAGGAGTCAGTCAAGTGAGTTTAATCTAATTTGAGAGTAAAACTTTTTCAGAATATATTTTGCCATTGATATCAGCACAAAGGTAACACTGTAGGGCAGTGTTACTGACAAGGTACGTAGACTTCATCCTAAGATCATTATAAATGATTATGTGTCAAGATAAACAATAAAAGGGGGAAATGGAAACATAATCAATGAGTATAAATTATGGAGTTACAAAGTAAGTCAATGCCACTGCAGAAGTGGCTTCTCAGAAGATTTCTTCTATGATGCACAAGATCCTTGCTGAGGTTTTCAGTTGAGGAGAGTCAGTATTACCCAGTTAGGGATGAGTAGTAATGAGAACAATCTGACTACAATGATTTTTACTTGCCGTTCCTTCAGGTGCAGTCACATACATGTCCAGACAGCCAGCTACACACATAAAAATGTAACTGCCTTCTCATGCCATGCTGCAGATCTCCAGAATTTGTCTTTAGCTAAGGCTAGGATACTGATTCAGAGGAGTAAGGAGACCAGAAGGTTATGGGTAGGTGAGGCATGGCTCTATTTTCTTTGTCTCTCTCCCTTTCTTTTCTTTTCTTTTTTTTTTCTTTGTCTTTTTGAAACAGGGTCTCCTTGTAGCCCCAGCTGGCCTAGAACTAGCTTTGTAGGCCAGGGTGGCCTTGAACTCACAAGAGATCTGCCTGCGTCTGCCTCCCAACTGCTGGGATTAAAGGTATGCGCCACCACACCAGGCCTTCTATTTTCTTTTTCAACTAAAACATAACTTTGAAGGACTTTTATAAACTGCAGACCATATGTAAGTGTATACCGGTATGTACATATAAATAAATGGTCAAGGAGTTTGACAAGTGGTTTCTGGAATTTACTATGCGAAAGAGCCATTGCATCTACCAGAAGGGCCAGGAATAGAGGCATTGAGAAGACCTTAGGGCTTTAGCAAAGGAGTGGGCTTGGTGTGTGTAACCATAGTTCCATTACAATGGCTGGGACATGTAGCCATATCATTTTCCTTATCTGTGTCATCTGGTATGAAATTTTCTGTTCTCATTCTTTGTTCTCCCTTGAAGATTCTCTCAGAAGCTGAACTGACGTATGTTCTAGTTTGCCTTCTATTACTGTGATAAAATACCAACCAAAAGCAACTTGGGAGGAAATGGTTTATTTGGCTAACACTTCCATGTCACAGGTCATCACTGAGTGATGCCAAGGCAGGAGCTCAGGGCGGGAACCTGGGGCAGGAGCTAAAACAGTGACCATGGAGGAATGCCACTCCCTGGCTTGCTTCCCATGACTTGCTCAGCTATTTTCTATTTTTTTAATTTAATTTAATTTTTTTGAGGTTTCTGATAATGCTACATTCTGAACATACAAAGGATACAAAATTAATTTTTTTCTAGAATATTTCAAAGGATGGTGCCAGTCTATCATTGTCCACAAAGCACCTTCACATACTGTTACCATAGGTCATTTTGTCTCTTAATTAAAGTAAGACACCATATGTCCATAGTTTTGGCCTGTACTGAAACGGGGGTAAAGAGGGTCCCCTAGAGGGTTCTTAGTCTCATTTATAAAAGAATTGAAGAATGGACCCAAACAGCAGAAAGCAGACAGACTTACAGAGACCTACATGACTGTGGCTGGTCAGGAGTTCTGCATAACAAAGTGGGATTCCAGGCAGGAGAAATCTGCTACCTCATTAATGCACCAGGTATTCTGCCCATCTATTTAACATAATTTAATGTGAACCTGCCTTCCCAGGGGTGATCACCAGGTGATTGACCAGTGAGATTGGAAAGGTGGGTCTACCAACAGATAGACTAGGGATTTTATAGTCTTGACCCATCAAACTTATGGGGCCTTTTGCTACTCTAATATTCCCCCCTCTGAAGAGGTAACCCTAAAATCTTTTAGGGATTAGATAAGAGCTCCCAAATACTTTTGACATTTTTGGTCTTTGGAACAGAGTATGTTGCTAAGAGGCCCAAGAACATTTTGACTTTTAGCCAAGAAACTGGCTACTTTTCTTTGGGGTCTTTTTACCCTAACTGCCTAGTCAATTCCTACCTCATACCATCCTCTGAAAAGGTTGCCCAAATTACAGATAGGGAATAGGGATGCAGACTTCTCTGGCTTCTTCCACGATGAACAGGGACGCAGGGTGAGGCAATGGGATACTATCTAAAAGACTCGGCTATTTTCTTATACAGCCCAGGCCCGTGTGCCCAGGGATGGCACCACCCACAGTGGGCTGTCCCATCCTATATCAATTAACAATTAAGAAAACGCCTTACAGACATGCCAGTCTGAGGACAAAATTCCTCAGCTGAACTTCAGTTCATTCCCAGGTAACTTCAGTTTGTGTCAAGTTAACAGAAATAACTGGCATAGCATAACTAACGTCCTAGTTAGCTTTAACTCTCAACTTGACACAGCCTATAATCATCTGGCCAGAGATCCTCAGTGGAGGAATTTCCTAAATCCAGTTGGCCTCTGGGCATGCCTATGGGAGACTGTCTTGTTATTATTTAACATAGGATGGCCCTGCCCACTGTGGGTGGTACCATCCCTAGGCAGGTGGTCCTGGGTTATATAAGAAAGCTAGCTAAGCATGAATAAGCGAGCAGACCAGGGAGTGAGCGTCCTCCATGGTTCCTGTTTCCAAGTTTCTACCTTGAGTTCCTGCCCTGACTTACCTCAATAATGGACTGTGAGCTGGAAGTGTAAGCCAAATAAACTCTTTCCTCCTCGAGTTTCTTTCTGTCAGAGCAACAGAAAGGAAAGTAGAATATCTAATATCACAAGGAAGTTGAGAGACTTATAAAAAGCATTTGCTCTTTCATCAGATGAAATTGTTTGACAATGCTTGACTTGAAGGTAAGTAGGGGATGGGATAACCAGGAAAAGAGCTAGTGTTTATTAAGCCTCAATTAAGGTATTTTTCAAATATTATTTAATTCCTATGCAGCCTCAAGTTAGTTGCTATTATCACAAATTAAGAAACTGAAGTTCACATAAGGTAAGGACTTTGTTCCAAGCAAACAATTAATGACAGATCTATAATTTTGATAACTTCAAAATCCATGCTGTTTTCTCCAAACTATGTGGTCTCTATCTATAAAGAGTATATCAGTGAGGGAGCTGGAGAGATGGCTCAATGGTTAAGAGCACTGGCTGCTCTTGAAGAGGACCTGGGTTCGATTTCCAGCACCCACATGGTGGCTAACAACCATCTGTAACTCCAGTTCCAGAGGATACAATGCCCTCTTTTGATCTCCATGGGCATTGCATGATATGGGTGTATTTACATACATGCAGGCAATATACTCATCCACATAAATTAAAAATAATAAATAAAATATTTTTATAAAGATTACATCAATGAATTTGGCCTTCAGTGGAGCTCAGAAGTACTAGAGGCACCCAATGAAACCAAGTTGCAAAAGGTAGTACTCATGATCTATAAGAGAGCTATAAGCCAAGCACAATACAAGAATGTGACCAGCTGCCACTTCCCTTAACCTCATAATGTCAATTAAGCAAACATTGTGAGCGAGCATACGTACAGAAGCTTTTGCTGGTCATTGCGGAGATGTGACCAACCAAGGATATGACCTCTTTAGCCTTTTCTGTAAATGCTGCTGTGCAATGTTCTTGGTTTCCTACAAGTAAATGTAATTATTATGAAGGAAATTCGACGATGTAAAAGTATGGAAAATAGATATGAAAATACCTCTCCTCAGTGGCCGACAACACATATGCCACAGTACATGTTATGGTAATCATGCATATCCCATCATAGTAGATCTAATGTCTCCAAATGCACCCGCCTGTCTTTATCTATTTTCGTTTTCTAAGAGAGGATCTCAGTATATAGCTCAAGCTTTCCTGGAACTTTCTATGTAAGTCAGGCAGTCCTCAAACTCTCAATCCTCCTGCTTAAGTCCTGGGATTACAAGTGAGGTATCACACTTGGCTCTCTGTACCATTGCAAATTTAACAACATACTTAAGTTCTAAGGGCAAGTTTGAGACAGCATGCTATTATCCATCCTAAAAATGAGAGAAATAATGTTATAGCAAAGTTTTGCTGTCTTACGGGTTATATGAATAGAGAATTACTTTAGTTTTGGACTTAAGATGCTGTGTTTTAGCAACAGTAATTGAAATTATTGGGGTACAGAAGGAAATGTAATTTTCTCAGAATAGTATCCGGATCTAACTAGTTATGAAATGAAAATACAGAGCAAAAAAGAAACATATCCTGGTGCCTTCACAGATAGAATAACTGCAAAAAGCTGGCTGAAAATGGTTGCAACTTTTTATCATGCAGTTTTTTGTTTGTCTTTTTCTTTGAGACAGAGTCTGACTGTGTAGCTTTGGCTGTCCTGGAATTCACTATGTATACAGGCTGGCCTTGAACTCATAGACATCAACCTTCCTTTGCCTCCCTGAGTTATGGGATTGAAGGTGTGTGTGCCACCACGCCTGGCGATGGTGCAGTTTTGAATGATGTGTAAATACTATCAAATTTTCTTTAAATAGTTTATTACATTTTTATAATCTTATAATATCATAATTTTACAGTGTTAACTTTGATAATATTTTGTTCTAGAAAATGGATAGGTAAAAGAAAATTGGTAATGAAGTTCCATGGAAATTTGCTAATCTTTTAAAAGATCTTTATGCACTTGCCAAAGAATTTAGATAACATTTAGCTATGAGAGTTTCTAAACTCCATTCCTTCTTTTTTCTTTAATTGGTTTTAAAATAGTATATAATTACATACAGTAAAATGCACAAATGGGTATACAGCTCAAATTGCATTAAAATGTATACATTTATGTCATCAATATCAAAGTCAAAATATAGAGGACTATTATGCATTTATTTTAATTTAGGCAAATGTCATAGTGACTGAGTGGAAAGGGATACATGGAGATGACCCATACACCCTACAACACAGAGAATGTGGAAAAGAAGGAAAATACATTCATTTCACCCCTAACTTCCTACTCAATGATGAGTTAACAGCTGGGTATGGATCACGAGGTAAGTTCAGTTCACAAAAAAAAAAAAATATAGTCACTGGACACTACAATATTTTGTGCTTGGTGCAGAAAGGGACTCAGAAAACCCAAAACCTATCAAGGACTTTACATCTGTCTGGGAGACAAGCCAAACACACTTACTAGGCAAGGGAGAAGGTGAGCCAGGAAGAGCTAAGCACCAGTTTAAGCCTAGGCAAGAGTGCTCTACAAATTCAGCAAAGGAATTCTAAGCCAAGGGTGGTCAGAACAAGTCTCCAGAGGACTGGCACCCTTTTCATTAATGGAAAAAAGAAAATAGCAAGAGGCTTATGAATAGAGCTGAGGTTGCAGAGAAACCCAGGTGTGTTTGAGAGATGTGACGTGGAGCCCCACTGATAGGGCAGAGGCTGAGCATGGGGGAAACACCAACATGTACTCAGCAACCAGGAGATGTGCACAGCCTCAAATGCCCGCAGCTATCAAGTCATGACCGAAGGCTCATAGGCATGGGAATGACAGTACCATACAGAGTTTTCAGAAGATGGATCTGTGTGCGTAATATGACTCGCTAGAATCAATGAAGGAGAAACTGGATCTGGTAGGGAAATGGGGAGATGTCCAGGGATGAGACCACGAGGCAGTGGGAGGGGAGGAACAAGAACCAGGAGCACAAGTGATGAGGGCTTCCTCTGCCCCAGATGCTCTGATGCTTGCTTTTAAAATATTTTCTTATGTAACCCTAACAGCGCTAAGCAGTGAATATTCTAGAGTTTGACAAGAGAAATTCTGCAGAGTAAAAGGCAAGAGGTGTAGACAGACTGCATTAAGAACAAGGAAGGCATTGGACATAGAGAGGCCAGTGAAAAGGGGACGCCATAGATCTGGATTAGGAGAGAGGATGGTAAGAAGCTTTTAGCTGTGCTGTTCTCCCAAGATCCAAACGTTGTGCAACATGCCACAGCCTGAGATGGCTTAGCAAATGCTTCCTGGGTTAGCAGAACTTAAAGTAATTCAGAAGAAAGCATGTGTGCTTTGAGAGGGATGTTCTTCTGGAAAGCTTCTATGAGAAAGAAGTGACTTCTGAGCTGAACTTTGAAGGAAAGTAAGACTTAGAGAGGGTGCAATAAAGTTATGAAGGACTTGATGCCAGGAATGAGAATTGCCATGAAAAGTTAGAAATAGACAAGCAGGAGGAGAATAAAGACTAAAGGAAAAATGCAAAGAACATTCAAGATGGAGAGAGGATTCTGTGATCTTTTCTGTTCCTTTCTTCCCTGATTCCTAGATTTCAATCATTGCTGTGGACAGAGTTGCCTGCAAGAAGAAAGCTAGCATGCTTACATAGCACAGACTGCAGATCAGGAAAGCATTGTTTCTTGCCTGGATATGCTTCTTCCGTTTACCCAAAATCCTGAGTCTATTGGGCTGCATGTATGAGCTGAGTAGAAATTTAGCTTCGTTGAGGGAGCAAGAGAATGTGGGACTCTTCTAACAGGTGGGATGTGAACAAGCCACTGCCTTGCATTCACAGGACCAGGCATTTCCATGCTGCCTTTCCATGAGGGTGGAGGATAAGATAGGAGATTGGGTGAAGAAAGTGACAGAGAGTTTGACTTTAGCTCTTTGGAACAAATATGTACAGTCAGGTAATACTATATCTTAGTGATTAGCAAGACATATTGCTGAGAGTTTCAAAGCTCAGAAAGCAAAAGCTCTCTCTTCTACAGGCAGGGTGTTTGTCCACGAATGGGCCCATCTCCGCTGGGGTGTGTTTGACGAATATAACAATGACAAGCCTGTCTACATAAATGGGCGAAATGAGATACAAGGAACCAGGTTAGTGCTTTTTCTCATATTTAAAGTTTACTAGTCATTTTATTCTTAACATTAAGGAATACGCTGAATATTTCAAAAAAATTGCAGAAAGGATTTGTTAATGTTTTTAATACAAAGAGATAGTAAGTGACTGGGTATGGTGGTTCATACTGTCATCTCAGCACTACGGAGGCAGAAACAGGAGGACTGCCACAGGTTCAAGGCCAGCCAGGGCTACACAAGTGAGTTCCAGCCCAGCCAGGGTTATACAGTGAGTTCCAGCCCAACCAGGGCTACATAGACCTTGTCTCAAAAACTAAATGGGAAGATACATATATTTATCTTGATTTAGTTATTATGTAACAAAAATTAAGAAATAGAAGTTTCTAAGGGCAAATATCTATTAATGAGGAAGAAATTCTTCCATTTTTGTTTTAACTTTTTATTGCATTTAAAATGGGCAAACATTTAGGTGGTTCAGATACGAAAACAATGTAAAAAGTTATGTTCTTGGATGTCTCACTCAATGCTGTTTTTGTTCTGTTTCCTCTTTATCGTCTCTAAATAACCATCTTAGTTTCTCATGTATTTTGTCTCTTTAAATTTCAATCAAATATGAGTATATATTCTTCCTCATGCCTGTTAAAATAATTGCATAGTGTTCCATGGTGTGGTTATACCATAATTTATTCAACCAGTCCTCTAGACATGTAGATTAATATCAATCTTTTGTAGTTGCCAATGGCCCTGAAGCTCATAGTGTTATTCATATGTCACTTCCTGTGTATGCATGGAAATCTGTGTATCTATTGAAATCTTCCAAGAATTCAGGTCAGTCTTTTGGCAACAGATAGAGACAATTACAGAGTTCTACAACTGGTCACACACAGAGAATAAATATCTGTGAGATGTCCAGCCCTAAATGACACATCTGCAGTGGAACCTCTACACCTAAGGCTCACAGAACATACTGGAACAGGGGGTAGAGAGAATACTAACGCATCTCTCAACTCTTACTAGTGAAGTCTCCTCATGCAAGAGGGTAATTAACACAGAAAATCACATCTGGCCAAGTGTGCCCTGGGATAGGACTCCTATATTAAAACTCACCCACTCAGGGTCAGGGACCATTGGGGAAGACAGGGCAGGCAGAAAGATTGTAAGAGCCAGGGTTGGTGGATGACCACAGGAAATAGTTTTCCAGGCTTCTGGGAACTTGCCCATATGAAATTACAGCAATGGTGTCAGCATATACAAGACTCAAACTCAAACCAGACAAAAACCCAGCATAGAACTGGGGGAACAGGCAGCAGGCCCCAACCTTAGCTGAGGAACTATTGGCAGCTGATCACTGCTGGGTGAGGAAGAGCTGATCTTCTTTATAGAGTAATGCTAGACAGGCCGAAGAGGCTCCAGTGAATGAACTCACACCGAGGGACATTTGGGGACACAAAACTTGACTCAGTAGGCCTTAACATATATGACAGAATGCATGAAATCTGGTTGGGGGGTGATGAGGGCTGCAGATATGTGAAGGGGGTCTAAATATAACTAATATGTATTGTATGAAATGTACAAAAATTCAACTAAAATAAAAGAGCTCAGGGTCAGAGAGGCCCTCAGCTGATAGATGCATATTATCAATTCCACTTCAAAATATGGCACCATTTCTTACTCCCATAGCAACATTTGGGATTATTTGTTGAAGAAGGAATCCTTTCAAAGATCGCCATCACAAGTGAAATCACTTGTTTTCCTGATGTCCGGCGGACTTGACTCAAAGGAGTCCCCAGAGTTCCTCTGGGCTTGCCCCTGCTTTGTCTCCTTTGGCTGCTAAAGCCTTTGACAGTATGAAATTCTTTCATCAAGATTCAATGCTTTAAAATAAAGTGGAGAGAGATTTCTAAATTAATGAGCTTCTTAAATAGATCATTTAAAATGTTTATGCATGTCTAGAGAGATACAGTCCTTGAAAGAAATTATTATAAAAGCTAATCAAGAAGAAACATAAGTATTTTGAAAACAGACCCAATTCTTAGTTTTAGCTTTCTTCATTTTCAGGTGCTCATCTGATATCACAGGTGTTTTTGTGTGTGAAGAAGGTCTTTGCCCTGAAGAAAACTGTATTATTAGTAAACTTTTCAAAGAAGGGTGTACATTCCTCTACAACAGGACCCAAAACACGACTGGATCAATAATGTTCATGCAAAGTTTACCTTCTGTAAGTATGTCCTGAGACTGACAAACTCCTATAACCTGTCATCTCATTCCAATATAGACCAATACGCTTTCCATGTGTAAAATACAGGACAATGAAGGGTCATTATACTAGAGCTTGTGGGGGGGGGCTTTAGAGTTCATTTAGTGTTTGTTCTACATATAAAAAAGCCCTGTCTCCCCAAATGATGATACAGATTCCTTTAGGAAAGTAAAAATCCACTTTCTGGGGAAAGTGATTAAATAAGAGGACTCTGGAGGCCACATACACACACACACACACACACACACACACACACACAGTTATGTGGTCGCATTTCTTACTTGTATCATTTCAATAGAAGAGGTATTAGGTTCATGAGAGTGATGCAATAAGCAATTGTATTCCTGTTATTTGAGGTTCTCTTTCCTTTGTTTAGCAAAATCTAGAACTAAAAAGGCAAATAAACTAGCCCAGAGGTGTGAACAGCTTTGTACCCAAATTAACTGACAAGAGGCAGGTCTATAAATCCAGAGAACCATTTTAAAATTAATATTTAAAGAGTGCTCGGTTCTGGGATCGTGTACTTTTACTCTCTAACTAGTCTGTCTTCTCTAGGAAGGATGCAGCACAGAATAGGCAAACTCACCAGAACCCTGCTCCAGAGAGCATAGATCCAAAAGGAGGGAGCTGGTCAGTTCAGAGCTTTGGTGGAACCAGCCTGCATGACATGATTTATCAGTGCAACCTCACAAAGTCCTGAAAGTCATTATCTGTGTTCCATCCCTGCTGGGCTGGGAGCTTGGTGGGCACCTGATTTTTGTTTTTTAAGTATTGTGTTGGTAACTAATTTCTTTAGTATGGTTTTAGTTAATGATAAGAGTCATTTGTAACATGAAGTTTATTTTTCCTATTTCTTATCTTTATTTTTTTATTTTATGTATGTGAGTGTTATGCCTGCATGTGTGTAAGTGTACCCGTGTCATGCAGTGTCCACAGAGGACAGAAGAGGGTGTCAGATCCCCTGGAACTGGAGTTAAGGACAGTTGTTAACAGCCACATGGGTGCTGGGATTCGAACCCAGGTCTTCTGCAGGAACAGCCAGTACTCTTAACTGCTGAGTCATCTCTCTAGACCTGAGAAAATCTTTGTAATCCTCTGAAAAACCTATTAAGAATATCCAGTCACGGCAATTTCAAAATTGCCTTGCCATAGTCACAAAATGTAGGAAACAAAGAACTAAACAAAGCAAAACAGGTTCTTTTCTGTCTCCCATCCTTCTGAAAAGGTCATGTCTTAAGCAGGCATTAGCCAGATTCAGCTTCCTCCTTTATGAAATTGGAGGTGGGACTGGGGAATCTATACATTCCTTTCATACCACAAGTTCCCATGGCTCTATTCTCAGGAAGAGCCTGCTTTTGTAGGAATAGAGTCACTGAGATTAGACAGTCAGGAGCTACCTTGACTTTAGAGGGGATGCTGACATAGGTTTATTATCATTAAAGGAATGACATCTGTATTTCCAAATGGGCAAATGGTTTCAGGAAGTAGATTTAAGTTGTTTTGTCCCTTATCCTGTTCCTACAGAGATCAATATTTGACCTAGATCAATATATGTTGACTGATTCATAGAAATGTGGTCATTGAATAAGATTCCAAAGAATGGGTTGACCAAGATAACATCTCTTGAAGGTGTTTTCTTGACACAATATCATGTTAAGGAAGGAGGGAGATTGTTTTGTTTAAGACTAAGATATGTATATATACATGGTCTGTTCTCTGTTGTCCCAGTGCTAATAAACTTTACTAGAGAATGCTTTCATAAACACAGGGTGCTATAATTTCAAGCAAAAGGTGTTAAAGTTTATTTGCAAACTTGATGTCACTTTTGAAAGAAAGAAGCAGGTGACCAGTTTCTACTGCCTTTCTTTCAACTCTGCCTTTCTTTTACTTGTTGCCTGAGAATGCTAAGTATGTCCAGTCTGGAAAGGATGCTTTTTCTCTCTGAAACTTTCTTCTTTTTTCCAGGTGGTTGAGTTCTGTAATTCAAGTACCCACAACCAAGAAGCTCCAAACCTACAGAACCAGCTGTGCAGCCTCAAGAGCACCTGGGATGTAATCGCAGGCTCCTCCGACTTTAATCACAGCCTTCCCATGAACGGGGCTGAGCTTCCGCCTCCTCCCACATTCTCCCTCATGCAGGCTGGTGACAAAGTGGTCTGTTTAGTGCTGGATGTGTCCAGCAAGATGGCGGAGGTAAGACACTGAACTCAAATGACTGTGAAATATCCATTTTTTTCCTATTAGGTTTCAATTCAGAAACTGAGATGATGAGATAAACAAAATCCACACGTAATCCCTAACCTCATTGTTGCTACTAACTGTGACCATTCCCCATCAAGACCTTCTTCTAGACCCTACACCTGGTCATGATTGGGAATGATGGCACAGCAACCATGGGAATTCAGATGCTGTTGTGTTCTGAGTGCCCACAGGGTGTGCTCTGTGAGGATGGTAGAACGGAAGCTACAAAAAGAAGTCATTTTTCTAATAATTCTAAGAGACTAATGGCAGAATTCAAAGTCTTTGTTTTATCCATGCTACTAACCTACTTCTCAATCAGTAAGAAAAGTAACATCTGGGAAGGGAGGCACTAAATTTAGAATGTGTCAAGTCTGGGATATTTATGAGACACTATCAAGTTGGTGGTGTGTCTAAGACATGTGACAGGCAGGTCTGGATGCTATGGGAGATGTTTAGAGACAGCACAATCATCTATGAGCAGGTATCCATTGAAGCTCAGCTCACCTTTCTCTTCTCTCAGAGTGTTCAAACAAAGTCACTAGTGAATTAATCAGTAGCATCATCTTTATATTTGCTAGTGCCTTTTGGGTGGAAATCTTAGATAATCCTAACAGCACTTCTAATATAATAAACAAAAACATCAGCCGGGCGTGGTGGTGCACACCTTTAATCCAGCACTCAGGAGGTAGAGGCAGGCAGATCTCTATGAGTTCAAGGCCAGCTTGATCTACATAGTGAATTCTAGGCCAGTTGAGGCTACAGGGAGACTCTGTCTCAAAAAGACAAAAAAAAAATCATTATACTTGCTCTAATAGACAAAGTGTCTAGCCTCAGTGACCACAACAGGGGGTCACAAGGGATGCCCACCTGGCACCATTGACTGCCACAGCTCTCTACTACCAGGCCCCTTTGCAAAATCTTTTCCTACTTGATGGAATTTTAAAAGAAGTAGTTACAAACCTATCTCAGTTGATTTCATGGGACTTTTCATTCTGAGTTGGGTTGGTGTGGAATAGTAACGATCCGTCTTTTTAGTTATGAAGAGCTTATTCCAAAGCATTCTCGCTTCCATACCCCAACACACATTTTTGAATGTATAATTAATAAAAAAAATATATTCTAGCATTATGTCACTTTACAACTCAAAGAATTATAGTGCAATGTCTGTAAAGATTAGCAGATACCTTTGTCAATTGAATTACATAGTCATCTTTGGTCAATGGATCAATGTCATTGCTTTTTTTTTTCTTTTTGGGATATAGGAGGACAGATTCCTTCGACTGCAACAAGCAACTGAATTGTACTTGATGCAGATTGTTGAAATTGGTACTTTTGTGGGCATTGTCAGTTTTGATAGCAAAGGGGAAATCAGAGCCCAGCTGCACCAAATTAGCAGTGATGATGACCGAAAGCTGCTGGTTTCATATCTGCCTACCACTGTGTCTGCTGAATCAGAAATGAGCATCTGTTCAGGGCTTAAGAAAGGATTCGAGGTATAATAGAGTATCTTAAGTCTCAAGTATTATCACCATCTTCTTAACTTTGAATCTTGGATTCCTTCTGAAAAGGAAAACTGTTTGACAGTGTGGTCACAACAGTCTCAGCTGTTGGAGAGTAATATTAGAGCATCCTCAAAGTCGGACTCCGTTTCTTGTTCACCATTGTATTCCCTGTGTCTAGCAAAGTAACTGACATCTAGTGGTTACTTAATAAGTGTTTGTTGAAAGAATGAGTAAATAAATGGTCACAATGGCCATGGCTAAGGGACTTAAAAATCACCTGATCCTTTCTAAATTGTCCCTGTGTATTCTGATTTTCAGGACAAAATTAGCATATATAGTCTCTGCCTATAAATATGCTAGATTTCAAAGACATAAGAATCAAGAAGGTCTGAGACGATAACTCAGCACCCCCCCCCGACAGAATCAACACCAGAAGTATATTTCACAAATCATAGAAATCTCTCTAAGTCAGCTTCTGAGATGTGTGTGTCCAGCATCTGATAATAAACAAGACATCAGCTGGGATTGTTGCCACCCATAGCCAAGCGTTGCTGAAGTGACACTGCCCACTGAAATCACCCAACTGAAACATTACTTAAGAACAGGGGGTATATCTCAGTGGTAGAATGTGTGTTTTTAACACACATGAGCCTTCAGGTTCAATCTCTAGCACTAAAACATTAACAACAACAACAACAAAGAACCAATCATGATGCTTGGGTTTTATGCCTCTTAATTCTGATTTCATTGCTCTGGGTGTGGCCTGGACATTGAATTTTTTTAAACATTATCATTTAATTCTAAGGTGTAGCCAAAATTTAGAAGCTGTGCTCGAAGCCTACTTACTGGTCTCTGGCAGGATCTCAGAGGCAAGGGCCTCACACAGTAATGTACACTCTATCTTAAGAGGCGAAGTCCTTGCACGTGCAGGGTGACCATGCTGTGATGAAGTGAGGACCAGCTTGGTGGTGGGCATAGCGTGTAGGGGACCTTGGAGAGGTGTAGACCCTACTGGTGGGGAATTCTGAATGAGAGCTCCTCTGCTCAGGCAATTTGAACTGCATTTCCTTGCAAACAACTGATGATGCTCTATGTTCAGGTGGTTGAGAAGCTGAATGGAAGGGCTCATGGCTCTGTGATGATCTTAGTGACCAGTGGAGCAGATGAACACCTCAGCAACTGCCTGCTCACGGTACTGAGCAGTGGCTCCACCGTCCATTCCATTGCCCTCGGTTCCTCTGCAGCTGGAAACCTCGAGGAATTATCACGTCTTACAGGTAAAAAAAAATTATAAACATATGTTTTAGAGAATGTCTTTAAAATAGAACAATCAAAGCACAACATAAAACTCTGGTTATATGGCATAATTGGAAAAAAAATAGAAAAGGTTGTCTTAAAAACAAAAATCATTGCTAAAATTTGTCTAAAATCTTCCTATTTTAAAAATATTTTCTCTATAATTGAAGTTTTGTGCATCCAATAAAAATAATATTTTTATAATTTCTTTGTTAAACCAGCCTGAGCATGTATACTTATGGAACTAAAAAAAAACATTGAAGATGAACTGTACTAACTTCTATAGTAGTTCCACATGCAATATTTTAAGATAAATACCTGTTTTTGCTTTAGATGAGACAAAGAATACCTTTTATATTCCATATAGTCTATAAAAATATAAAAATATGTGCACCTAATTGACCATTGAAAGAATTTATGGAATTTTATTTGTTGAATTTATTTATCGAATTATTTTTTAAAATGCTGTTCTCAGAATGTAAATGCAAAAATATAACAATACAACTAATAGCAATTAAACTAGATTATTTAGGAACTGTTTTGAATCTCAGACTATACAGTAAGTGTTTATTGAGTTATGACATAGTGAGCTGAGTTGCAGAGCCTGAAAATCCAGCCACGAAGAGTGGACAAAATCACCCCGTTAAGGCCACTTACCCCATAAAATGGCATTCAAGGACTCAGCACACCTCTGTTGCCTCCAAACTCACACTCCAGTGCAAACATAGTTTGTTGGAAAAGATCTAACCTTTTATTTTATTATTTAAACCATTTTAATAGCTGATATTTCAATCGTGTATTTCAGGAGGTTTAAAGTTCTTTGTTCCAGATAAATCAGCTTCTAACAGCATGAATGATGCTTTCAGTAGAATGTCTTCTGGAACTGGAGACATCTTTCAGCAAAGTATTCAGGTCAGAATGTCCTCAATGTTGTATTTATAAATTGAGGGACGGGGGAATAAATGAATTGTGTTGGCTGCTTTGTTAGCCGTCTTCAAATGCATACCAGTGTGTGGACAGTCCTAATGAGCTTGGTGTCCCCGGAGTCAAGCTTCACTTTACGTCATGTTTGCAGTCCTCACTTCCAGAGCTATTTTCTGTGATGACTACTTCAGTTTTTCAAGGTCTGTGAGAAAGATCTGCTCTTTATAGTTCAAAGTTCAGGTAGAGGCAGGGTGTGATGGAGCCCAGGCTCAGAATAAAAACAAGAAGCTGTGTTTTAGTTTTTCAGTTCCATCGGTTTCCATCAACCAGACTGCATTTTACTTTGACTGCTTCAACATTTTAAAAATTCTTCACTTTCATGAGGAATAGTAACTATTTCATTAAGTTCTGGAAAGGTCTAGATCGCCTCACCTCATATTGTGTGTGTGTGTGTGTGTGTGTGTGTGTGTGTGTGTGTGGTTTTGTTTTTGTTTTGTTGTTTTGTTTTGTTTTATGACAGGATGTGTATATCTCAGGCTGGCCTGGAACTCTGTACAGAAGAGGCTGGCCTTGAACTCCTAGTCCTGCTCCTACCTCCCAATGGCTGAGATTACAGGCATAAACTGCCAACCTCGGTTTTAGACTGTTTCTTTAATTAGACACCTTACTTGATTTGGGGCACAAGATCTTCCTCTAATCAAGCTACTTTTAAAGGGCCAATTTTTCATTCTAAATACTTAAAATGTTTTGGGCATGACTGACTAGTATTTTAAATAGAATTTCATTAGCAGTTTCCTCACAGATGGTGAGTGAACCTGTTAAGTTAATGGTTTGATGTAAACAAGAAACTCGATAAATTATTGTCAGGAAATATTTAACACGAAGATTATATAGACACAATAGAAGTAATAACCACAGTAATATCATTAAAAGTAAAACAAATGCCCAAGGCATATGGTAATCTAATGGTCAAAGGTCACAGATAAAAAGAAGATTCATAAAAATAAACAATTCATAAGGGTTTCCCAACTTGGCTGACAGTACACGTCTAGGCAGAAACCCTACGTGACAGGAAAGATGTTCACAGTACCGAAGAAAAACTGCCCACCAAGGATATTCTACTTAGTAAAGAAATGAAGACAAGATAAAGACAGTTCAACAGCAACAACAACAAAACAACTAAAAGATCTCTCCACCACATCTTTCCAGCAAGAAATGCTAGAGAAAGTTCCTCAGAATGACACAGAGGAATGTTAATAAGAGGCAAACAGATTTAAAACACACTGGTAAGGCTAGTTCATCAAGTTCTTAATGCTATAATATTGGGGTTTTTTTTAACTTTTAAAAAACTTTATTGAGAATTTCATACACGTATACAAGGTGTTTTGATCAAATCCACGCCCACTCCCTCCCCTCCAACTCCTCCCATGATCCCTCATCGCTTTTTTCTGACAACTTTGTATACGCTTTCTTTTCTTTTTTTAAAATGGGGCTTTGTGCTACTCTAACATTCCCCCCTCTGAAGAGGTAAACCTAAAATCTTTTAGGGATTAGATAAGCGCTCCAAAATACTTTTGACATTTTTGGTCTTTGGAACAAAGGATGTTGCTAAGAGGCCCAAGGACATTTTGACTTTTAGCCAAGAAACTGGCTACTCTTCTTTGGGGTCTTTTTACACTAACTGCCTAGCCAATTCCTGCCTCCTACTCTTATCACACCATCCTCTGAAGAGGTTACCCAAAATGCTGGTGGGGAACTGGGACATAGACGGCTCTGGCTTCTTCCATGCTGAACAGGGACACAGGGTGAGGTAACTGGGGTACCTCTTCAGTGGATCTATCTAAAAGACTCCCAAATTGCATAACTCTTAAATGTAGGTAGAAAAGAAAGTCCTTAACCAGTGCCTAGGAGATGTGAAGGAAAAGTAAAGTCAAGAGCAGTTTAATGCTCTAATATTGTAAACATAACACATATCTTCAGTGTGAAGACTAAAAAATAAGCAATTAAAACTAATATCTATGGGGCTGGAGAGATGGCTCAGCAGTTAAGAACACTGGCTACTCTTGCAGAGGATCCAGGTTTGAATCCCAGCATCTACATGGGGGCTAACAACCTTTTGTAACTCCAGTTCCGGGGCATTTGACGCCCTCTTCTGACCATTGCACAACACGGGTGCGCTCACACTCATGCAGGCGATACACTCATACACATAAAATAAAAATAATTAGTACAATATTTTAAGTGATAATAATTACATTAATATTTTAAGAGGCAGTCAACATAGAAAGATGCAAAATGAGACACAAAAATCCAAAATGAGGGAAGGAGATGAGTGTCAGTACAGAGAGGATTTCTAGATACTTTCTTTTTTTTCTTTTCTTATCTTTATAATTATGTTATTTTTCTCTCACTTCAAACTACTAAAATCAGAGATGAAAAGGGCGATATTAAACCTGCCACCTGAGGAAAAAGATCTTTAGAGATTATTGTAGACAAGTATATACCAACAAATTTGAAATATAGAAGTAGACGAATTCCTGTACATATATACTTCACCATGATGGAATCAGGAAGATGTAGAAAGTCAGACCAATAAGAAGGAACAAGACTGAAATGATAATAGAGTCTTCCATAGAGGGAAAACCTCTGGGCTAGAGAGCTTCACACTGAGACCGCCGAACACTTAGAAAAGAACTAACATCACTTCTTCTTACATTATTCTTAAAAAATGATGGGATGGGACTGGAGATGATGCAGCCACTAAATGCTAAGGCTAACAACAAAAATGTCAAAGGTTTGGCTCTCGGCACCCACAAATGAGTACTGTCTCTTCAGCTTCCTCAAATATCACAAAAATTGAATAAAAATTAATTTGTTTAAATTAAGGGATGATGAGATGATTCAGCAGGTAAAGACAGTTACTGCACAAGCCTGACAAACTAAGATCCATCCCTGGAACCCACATAAAGATGGAGGGAGAGAACTGACTCTACAAGGTTGTAGAGTCACACACAAAAGTTTTTAAAAATATATTCTTAAAAAATGAACAGAATTGCTCCAAACACATTCTTTGAGGCCAGCATTATCCTGTATCAAAACAAGGATGCAAGAATAAAGAGAGCTAGGTTACTATTCTTGATGACTGTAAATGCAAAAAACGTTACCAGCCTTGACAAGCATGATGCCATAACAAGTATGATTCCAAAGTGACAGTGCCAGAATTTGGAGGGTGGAGGCAGGAGGATTGTGGATTTGGCGCCAGCTTGGTTTTACTTCTGTATTAGTTACTTTTCTATTGCTATGATAAAACTTCATGACCAAAATAACTTATGGAAGGAAGAGTTTATTTGGCTAACGGCTCCAGAGGGAGAAGTCCATCATGGCAGGAGGACAGAGGTGACTAGAGCAGGAGGCTGAGTGCTCACATCTTCAAACACACCCAGGAAGCAGAGAAAGACAAACTATGAACTCTCAAAACTCACCCCCAGTCAAGGTGCTTCCTCCATAAGGCCACACCTCCTAAATCTCCAAAACAGCGCCACCAATTGGAGACAAAGTGTTCAAATACTTGGAGCCCATGGGGGGCATTTCTTCATTCAAGCCACCACAACATAGCAAGACCCTGTATTTAAAAAAGGAAAAAGTCTTTGATAAAATATTAGCAAATCAAATTCAACAGCACACTGAAAGTTTTATTCACCATGATCAGGTAGAATTTATTCAAAGAAGCAAGGCTAGTTCAACATATACAAATCAATGATTATGCTAAAACACACCAACTGAACAAAGGACAAACCATAGAATCATCTGGATAGAAGGCCTCTGTTAAAATTCAACATCTCTCTATGGTAAACATTTTGAACATATTAGGCATACAAAGAACATACCTCAGCATGTTAAAGGGCATAAATATTAAGCCATCTGGAAGCATCATACTAAACAGGGACAAGCTGAAAACTTTTCCTCTAAGTTCTAGGACAAGGATGCTCTCGCCACTGTATTCAACCTTGGATTGGAAGTTCTAGCCAGGATAATCAGACAAGAAAAAGAAATAGAGGCCATTCCAATTAGAAGAGAGAAGACGAAATCATCACTGTTTCTAAATGCCATGGTCTTATATAGAAACCTCCAAAGACACCACTAAAATGCTATTCAAAACTAATAAATGAATTTAGAAAAGGTGCAGGATACAAAATGAGCATTCAAAATCAGTAGCATTACCATCTGTCACTAGTAAATTATGTGAAGTGAGAATCAAGAAGTGATCCCATTTAAAATAACTACAAATATTATAAAATACTTAGGACTAAGTTTACCCAGAGATGTGCGATCTCTATAACAAAAACCATAAAACACTGGTGAAAGCAGTCAAAGAGGCGGAAATATATGGAAAGACATCCTGTGTTCATGAATTAGAAGAACCAATGTTATTAAAACACTGTAGGTGATTTGCAGATCCAATGCAATCCCTATCAAAACAGCAATGACATTGACATTCTTCACAGAACTGAAGGAAAAATCCTCAAATTTGTATGGAGTCACAAAACTTCTCAATAGCCAAAGCTATCTTGGATAAAAGTAATAAAGGAGGAACCTTTACATTATCTAACTTTAAAATATACTATAAAGCTATAGTAATCAAAACAGCATGCTATTGCCATAAAAAGAGATACATAAGCCAGTGGGGGGGGGGATGCCCTAGAAGTAAATTCACATACCTTTAGTCAACTGATTTTTTTTTTGGTAGGAGGTAAGATATAGTCTCCTTCTACAGCCCAAGCTGGTTTAGAACTCACTATGTAATCCCCAGATTCACCTTGAACTCTCTCCTTAATCCTCCTGCATCATTTCCCAAGTAATGGAATTGCAGGTGTGAGCCATCACACTCAGCTAACCAACCGATTTTTGACAAAGAGGCTGAGACTGTGCATTGAAGAAAGAACAGTCTTTTCAATAAATGATGTTAGAGAGGTTTGGCTATGCAGAAGAATGAAAATAGGCTCCTATCACTCATCAGCTACAAAGACCAAATCAAGTGGATTAAAGTCTTACAGGTAAAACCTGAAACTCTTAATACTACTAGAAGATAGCATAGCAGAACTATTTCAGCACCTTAAAATGGGCAAGGGGTTTGAGGAGGAGATGAAATTCCCCCAAAGATGTAATAAGATTACATCAAACTAAAATGCTTCTGCTCAACAAAGGAAACAACCCAACACAAAGAGCCTGCAGAATAAGAAAATGCTGCAAAGTTTACTTCTGACAGGGGGTTGAGATCCAGAATAGATAAGGAGCTCCAAACACTCTACAGCAAAATTTAAAATAATCCAAATTTTAAAACTGGACAGTAGGAGCTAGAGAGATGGCTCAGAGGTTAAGAGCATTGTCTGTTCTTCCAGAGGACCCAGTTAGATTCCAAGCACCCATATGGTGGCTAACAAATCATCTGTAACTCCATTTCCAGGGGATCTGACATCCTGTTCTAGTCTCTGGGGAGCATTGCACACATGTGGTACACTAACATATATGCAGTCAAAACATACATATACATATACATATATATATGTATATATACAATAAACCTAAATGGACATTTCTCAAAAGGAGACACATGAACAGCAAAAAGGTGTGTGAAAATATACTTAACATGACTAATCATTAGAGAACTACAGATCGAAACTGCAGTGAGCTGTGCCCTTGTTCCAGTAAGAATGCTGTCATCAAGAATATGATCACACATGCTGATGAGAATTCCACAGTACATGGGAATGTAAATTAACACAGACATCATAGAAATCAGCATGAAACTTCCTCACAAAACCAGAAATACAACCAGCATCTAATCTGAAAACTTGTTTTCTTATTTCTTACTGAGATATGTAAAAGAATCTGTATATTATATACAAATTAAGAGAATGTAAGCATAGTCATAAGCAAAACTTTCTAAAAGCTCATCATTATAAGTGATGATGTGAGGCCAATGCTTAGCTGGATGAGATGATATGAGAAGAGCTAAATTATTTTTGAGGGATAATGGAGTGGCTAGAGATAGCATGCTTGCCTAGCATGTACAAGGTCCTAGGTTTGATCCCTAGCACCAGAAGAAAACAATCAAACAAACAAATGAACAGTGGAGGAGCATGGTGGCACACAACTGTGATCACAGAAAACAATCAAAGAAATGAACAGTGGAGGAGCATGGTGGCACACAACTGTGATCACTGCACTTGGAGGAGGAGGATCAGGAGTTGAAGGCCAGCCTGGGCTATGTGAGACCTCGTCTCAAACAGAAATAGCATGAAGTGATACGTTAACTATAATGAGATATTTTATAACTAGTTACATCTTGCACAATATTTTCTTTGGTTTACATAAGTATAGTGCATGTCAGAATTAAATGTATTTACTTTTGCCTCTTCGAGTTTGTCTTAAAAACAAAGAAAAAGAGGGAGCTTCTATGCATTCCCTGGAAGCTTTCACATAGATGTTCTCTTTAACAGCTTGAAAGTATGGGTGTAACTGTGCGGCCTCAGCACCAACTCACCAGAACTGTGACTGTGGACAGCAGTGTGGGCAACGACACTGTTTTTCTGGTCACATGGCAGACCGGCAGTCCCCCTGAGATTGTGTTATTTGATCCTAATGGAAGAAAATATAACACGAGCAATTTCATCACCAATCTGGCCTTTCAGACAGCCGGCCTTCAGATTGCTGGAACTGCTAAGGTGGGTGTAGGAGCCTGTTCATAACCGACAGCACTGAGCTAAGCACATTGCCGTTCAGCTGAGTCACATGATTAAATGTATCAAGGTAGCATGCTTGCCTAGCATGCACAAGGCCCTGGGTTTGATCCCCAGCACCAGAAGAAAACAATCAAACAAACAAATGAACAATGAAGGCGTGTGGTGGCACACAACTGTAAGGAAATTTTGTTAGGCCATCTCAAAACTCGAAAGACATTCTTGTGAATGTTAGAACTGTAAGAGGAGCAAAGTCTAGCTAAAACTTTAAATATCAGATAAAGACATCTTACTTTAATAATGGAAATGAGTGTGTCCACTAGTAGCACAAATACTGTTTTAAAACCTATGTCTTTCCTTCTTAAAGATTTATTTTATTTTTAATTATGTATATGTGTGTTTGCACATGCACATGAGTACAGGTGTCCCTGGAGGTCAGAAGTATCAAATCCCCCTGGAACTGGAGTTCCAGGCGATGAGATGACCAGTGTGGGCACTGAACTAAACTCTGGTCCTCTGCAAGAGCAGTGCCAACTCCTAACCACACAGCCATCTCCCCATCCCCTGAAACCTATATCTTTCTTTACATAATACATACACACATGTTTCCTATATGTTAGGAACAACTCTGCATACTCTTTCGAATATGCCAATACAATATGTATGTTTGTAGCATCTGCTGTGTTCTGGGTCTTGTGGATTCTTTAGAATAAAATACTCTGACAGTAGTAAGCACCTGAGTAGGTATACCACACCAGAGTGTGCATAAGGGCAGGAGAAGTTTTCGTGGGGTCCAGTTGATAAGCAGCAAGGGCTGTGCAGGACAGCAGAGGGAGTGGGGATTGAATCCTGGCAGTCACAGGGAAGAACTGGAAGCTCAGAGCAGGACTCTGCCTCCCTCAGGCATCATGTCTACTCTGCCTCCCTGCTTCCCCTTCCCGCCTTCTCCCACTACTTTACCACTTTTGTTTTACAAGGTCTTGCATTGCTGTCCAGGTTGGACTCAAAATCCCAAACCCAAGCACTCCTACCACTTCAGCTTCTCAAGTTCCCAAGTGGGACTACAGGTGTGCCACAATGACCAGATGGGCAGCAGCTTCTTAACTGGCCTGTTTGGATTCTGGCTGACAGCCATACAAGGCGACCTCCACCCCTTCAGATGATCTTTCCGAGGCAAACATCCGATCAGCCTGTCTGCTGCTCAGAACTCTGCGGCACTCTCAGGTTGAAATCGGAGCAGTCAAGGCTGGGCTCTGGGCCCTTTGTGTCTGGCTTCTGCTCCAGCTCATTCCTCACCTTTCCCCAAAACATCTGACTCTGTTCCTACTGAACTTTTCTGCAAATTCTTTGTGTTCTTTTCTCACCTGCGCATGAGGGCCATGAACACTGCACATCTTTCTTGCTCTCTTGCCTGACCTCTTTATATGGATCAGGCGCCAGCCCTGTATCAAAACACCAAAGGGAACATTTTGATGTGGCAGTCCCTGTCAATGTATCTGTTACAGTCATGATTCCAAAGTAAAAATGGACATCTAGAGAGATGACTTTGGTACTTGACTCAGACCTTTCTGGAAAACGGCACACACATGAATCCCATTGAAGAAGGGCCACCTGACCCTCACCTTGACACATTGTGTTTTTTCTGATTCCTCTGATTACCTCCAGGGTTTTAAAAGGAGCAGCAGAGGCCAAAACAATGCACACATATATGATATATCATATATATATATATATGATATATATGTGTGTGTGTGTGTGTGTGTGTGTATTACAAAGCAATACTCTGCTGCATGGAAATCTTAGCCTTTTTTCTTTCAAACGTTTTTGTTTCTTTCAGGCAGTCTAGCTTAAGAGGGTGACAGCAGGATTTCTACAAATTATTCAACATAGTCATTCTATAATTCTTACCTCTTTAAAATAATAGGTTATTTTCTTGGTCCCCAGTAGCATATGTAGTTTTGGTGTTTGAGATTTTTCAAGGTTTGGGAAATAGAACAATAGAAGAATGTTGTTGTTTTAGCCCAGGGTGTGTCATAATGGCCACTCAGTTTGATATAATTTTATCAGTTTTGAAAGGAATAAAAATATTTAAATTCCTTTTGGGGAAAGGAGTTCAGATTAATGTTTGCAAAGTGCTTTGAAGCTGGATGCTGTTATGACAATGTTCTAAAACTGTGAGTTAAAGTTCTTCCTCCTGCTCCAATAAACCCAGGATAAATTCCTTCTAGAGTTGCCTAACAACAAAGGCGGCTTTGTTAACCATCACTTAACTAATACTGCCATTTCTAACATCCCTTTCTTACATTAAAATAAAAATATAACATCAACAGAACATCAAAAATAATAGAGGCATAAATATAGGCTTTAAAATTAAGGGCCACATTTTTTCTTCACATATTACAAAAATAAAACCTTTGTTTTGCAGCCTGGGCTCTGGACTTACACCCTGAACAATACTCATCATTCTCCTCAAGCCCTGACAGTGACAGTGGCCTCCCGGGCCTCCAGCCCTGTCAGGCCCCCAGTCACTGTGAATGCCTTTGTGGAAAGAGATAGCACCTACTTCCCCCATCCTGTGACAATTTATGCAAATGTGAGAAAGGGACTGAATCCCATTCTTAACGCCACTGTCATGGCAACAATTGAGACAGAGACTGGAGATCCTATTATGCTGAAACTTTTGGATAATGGAGCAGGTAACAAGGAATAGCACGGCATTGTTCTGGTTCTCAAGAGTTACACTGTGATGAGGTTGCTTAGATGTTACTCTTACCTGTAAAGTTCCTTCGATCCATTTGCTCTCCTGTTCAATCTTAGCAGATGCTTGAGAGCTTGTCTGAGATTCTAGCCGAGGCCCATAGCTACTAATATACCCTTGACTGAAGACCAGTCCCCCCTCAGGGAAGGTCATCCTTTTCAACTGAGTGTGCTGCTTTGGGAGGGACACCCAGGGAGTGCTGACAGAGGAAGGGGAACACCCACCTAGTCAGCAAGATCAGCTGAATCCATTCTAGTGATTAATGGGGTGGCAGGTATCACAGATGCCTCTCACATCTTCTTACCAGATTCCTAATTCTCATAGAATCACTGAAAACTTGGGGAAAGAGTCCCCACACAGCTCCTCAGAATGGCATTGCCTGAGCATAAAGGTGGAAGACCATAGAAAGCCATCTGACAAAAGGGTCTGTGACCATACATAAGCCTAAGAATGTTCTTGACTTCTATAGAAAACTATTATTATTTGCAGTTATAAGAATTAGAGCTTTGCAGTGATTTTTTTAGGTGTTTTGTTAGCACTGAAGCAGATACAAGCCATTGACCTTTAGATGAGGTTGGGCACAGTCAGAGTAATATGACTGTAGGTCATTCACCATTAGAAAATACCTTTTCAGAGGTCATGGAATCACAGGAAGAATTTATGAAGCCATCAGATCTTTAAACCACGTTATAATATCAAAAGTAGCTATGCGTATGATAATATATGCTAAAATAGAAATAATAAAGGGAGTAGTGTTTTAATATCTTACTAAATATTAGCACTCAACTGTAATGAACAAGTGTTGACAATGAATCTTTATTTATGTATACACAGGTGCTGATGTTATAAAAAATGATGGAGTTTACTCCAGGTATTTTTTCTCCTTTGCTGTAAGTGGTAGATATAGCTTGACGGTGCATGTCCATCACTCTCCCAGCATCAGCACCCTAGCCCACTCTGTCCCAGGAAGCCATGCGATGTATGTACCAGGTTATATAGCAAATGGTAAGAACCATTGGCACTGTGAATGTGAGTAATGTCAGTTCATGTATGTATTGCTGATGAGTGTGTGTCTATGATAAGCACAGGAAGAAAGGAAGGTGGGAAGAAGGCAAGGAGAGAACTGAGAGAAATGGAATCTCCAAACTAAGGTCTGTGGCTATAGCTCAGTGGAAGAGTGCTTGCCTAGGTTCAAGCAAGAGTGCTTGAAGCCCTACGGTTCAATCCCCAGTGCCACACATACACACAAAAACTATCCTGAAATCAGTATATAATTTGTCGACTGTCTCTTTAATCCTTGGTAATTCATGGTCATGGATAAGAGACAATAGGTAATTCCTATAGATTTCTCCTCTCTGTTTTAATAACTATATTGAATGTTGCCTTGTGATTATTTAATCAGAATTATTAATAGATAAAGAGATTTATTACAGTGTCTAGGTTTTAGGCTCTCATATTTCCTTTACAGAAGTTTAAGGCAAGTGGAGGGGGGAGCAAAACGTTAGGAGTTGCGAGCAGGATGCAGTCAGTCCAAATAATCTATACAGGATAGACTTCCTGAATATACTGAGCCTGGGTGCCACAGACAATCTGAAAGATTCCTGAAGAGATTCTGTTTTCCTTCAAGAGAAACGTTCCAAATAGAAGAAGCTATCTATTCTTTTTTTATAAAACAGTATTACTTTAGTTCCTGCTAGGAAACAGTAGTTAAAATATAACAGAAAAATCGAAGTCTTCCCTGTCCTGCTATCTTTAAAAGCAGCCTCAGAAACCATTTCTAATCACTTTCATTTCTAAAAATACAGGGTTTCTCTCTTTCCCTCTCATCCTCTTTCTTTCTTTTTTTCTTTCTTATCTTTGCTTCATTTTGTTGCATGGAACCCAGGGTCTTGTGCATGCCAAGCATGTGCTCCTCCACTGAGCTGTCCTCTCAGCTTCTTTCTATCAGGCCTCCAACTGCTGGAAATTCTGAGAGGTCACTCCTCACCTTCCGCTTTCTGGAGCCACACTGCTTGGGTCTGAAGCCCAGCTTCTTCGTTTACTGCTGTGTGACACTGAGCAAATTACTTAGCTTCTCTCTGCTTCTGTCTCATCATCTGTAATGTATAGGGACAATAACTGTACCTTCTACATTGCAAGGAAAATTCAATATTTGATACAGAAAGGTATTTAAAGTGCCTGACCATAGAAAGCACTCAGTGAACACTACCTGACCATAGAACGTGCTCAGTGAGCACTACTTATAACAGCTAGAAATCATTAACAGGTTACCCCATTAATCCATATGGCTTTGATAATATTTATATGCCCATAACCTCCAAATTCATAACTTCAAATTTATTGAATCTAGCTAAAACTTCTTTTTGGCCTGAAAATCTATCTTTAACCAGCTCTGATTTGTTAGAAGAATCACAAGTCTTATAATTTTTGGTCTCTTTCTCCTTAGCTTGTTTCTTCTACTAAATTACACCAATTTAAAACTATTTTAGGAGCTATCTTTTAATCAACTTTTCACTGCTCATTCCATATTCAAATCTATCATTAATTTCTGCTGACTTGATCTCCAAAGTGCACCTTGCACTGTCCTTTCTTACTCCTTCTGCAGTAGCCGTCCCAGGCTGCCCTCATCCTCTTTCCTCTGGACTACTACTAGTTGACTGTCTCAAATTGACCCCTTACTTGTTGTGGTTTGATTCATTTTCTTAGCAGCCTACTAGAAAGCAGACTGATCATGTCACTTCCTGCTTCCTCGGAACACCGAGATTAAAATATAAAACCACTACACCTGGTCCCCAGGCCACACATGAACTTCTGTCTCACCCAAGCTATTCTTCTTTCTTTCTGTTTGTCTGTTATGCTGCTAGGGGTTAAGCCTGGGGTACCATGCATACTAGGCAAGTGCAGTACCCCTGACCTGTTTCCCCAGCTACACTCTTCCTCTTCCTCTTCTTCCTGTGCCTGCTCCTGCTCCTGCTCTTCCTCCCTTCCCCCTCCTCCTCCTCCTCTTCTTCTTCTTTATATTTTTATTGAAGTTTTGCGATTTTCATACAATATATTCTTATGATATTTAGATCCCTTACCCATCCACACCTTCTCTTACTGCCCCCTGCCCAATTTAGTATAGTCATATATATAATATAGTATATATATTATATAATATATATAAGGCCTATAGAGTCTAATATTGTGCCCCCAAATGTCCTTCAGTGTGGGTGCACCCATTGGAGCCTGGTTAAGCTACCAAGAGTCTCATCCTTGAAAGAGACTGACTCTTCCCTCCCAGCAGCCATTGATTGCCAATAGTTCCTCAGGTAGCTACAGCTACCCTCCTCTTTAACTCGGTCTCCCTATTCTGCAGCTTTTCCACACTCTGTCTTCATACAAGCCGTTCCTTTTGCCTAGGATGTTTTGCCCTTCACTTCTTACCTGTCTGACTCAATCTTTAGGAAAGTTGTTAAATGTTACTTCCTGATGCCACCCTAAATTATGTGCCTGAGTCATTGTCTTTCATAGCTCCCTGGTTTGTTGCCTTTTATATTAGTCACAGTTTGTAAATGTGTATTTACTAATATGACTAACATGACCGTAATTTCATGAGGGAGACTGTTTTTTCTGATTACCAGCGTAGCATATGCTCCCAGTGAATATGTATCGGGTGAATGAATGGATGAATGAGTGCATGATTGAATAAAGTCAGTTACTCTAAAGATGTGCTTTAAAATAAGGTGTAGAAATATCTCAGTTATCTGTCAAGAATGTCTGGAAGATTTGTGATTTGCTATTTTGGCTGTTCTTTGTGCTCCAGATAATATTCAGATGAATGCTCCCAAAACACCAGGGCACAAGAGTGAGGAGGAGCAGTGGGGCCTGAGCCGAGTAAGCTCTGGGGGCTCCTTTTCAGTGCTGCAAGTTCCAACTGGCCCCCATCCTGACATGTTTCCACCATGCAAAATTATCGACCTAGAAGCTGTAAAAATGAAAGACGAAGTGATCCTGTCTTGGACAGCACCTGGAGAAGACTTCGATCAGGGCCAGGGTAGGCTTGGAGCTTCAATACCTACCTTTCCATAGACAGTATTTCATTTTTTATTTGATCTGATTTGATTACTCTGTGTGTGTGTGTGTGTGTGTGTGTGTGTGTGTGTGTGTGCACTGTTGTGTATGGGTGCCTGCAGAAGCCAGAAGTAGGCAGCACCCCGGAGCCGGAGTTACAGACCATTGTGAGCTGCCCCACATGGGTGCTGAGAACTGAACTCCAGTCCTCTGCGAGGGCAGCAAATGTTCTTAACCACTGAACCATCTCTCCATACCCTGCACAGACAGGATTTCTAAGAACTGTGTTGAGGATTAGTTGGGTTAAAATAGCTTTGGTCTTCAGAGATGATGAAGACAGTTACAGAGGGTTATCATAAAAAGCTCTGAGTTACTGATAACACCTTAAATCCTGGAATGCAGGGAGTAATGTGCACTGTCTTCCCAGGACTGAAGACTTATTGGCACTAATCACCCAGAAACCTTGACTAGAAACATAAACCGCACACTGAGGTGGCCTCTTGAGCAGAAAAGGATTCTGTACAGTACAGCACATGCTTCCAAATACTGGAAGGACTGGCCCCCTGAAGACTATTTAGGCAGCATTTGTTTGTGTATTTTCAAGTCAAGTTCAGGGTACTGTTTTCTGTGACTGGTGAAAATGCTGGCATGTTCTCCTGTCCTGTTTCTGGCCACCACCATTCCCGTGGCAGAGGTGGGTGCAGTCCCCTGGCTCCAGTCTTTCTCGCCCTTGCTTTTTAGGAGGACATAGATGAGTGTCTTCTCCTGTCACTTTTCTAAGGCCTTTGCTTCTACCTACACCATCTTTCCCAGGCTTTTACACAGCACCACTGTTGAGAAATTTGCATTCTCCCATATTAATTTGAAAGCCACTTTCACCGTATACCAAATTCCTAAATATACTTTGTTCTATTTTTGGATATACATTGACACTGTTGTCTGTTGTGTTTTAGTTATTGAGACATTCTAGTTTTTTTTTTTAATCTCATAGGCTTACTCTTACCACATTACTACTTTTTAACTTTACGTGGTCAATTTTTTTAGTTATTTCCAATACAAATGTTACAATAAGCTTCACTAATTAAAGCAAGGACTGGCAGCAGTTCAAATAAAGTGACATAAAATCTACATAATAACATAAGGGGAAAAAGAATCCCTGATTAATTTGTACCTTGATTTCGACGAGTATGAAGTCAGATTTTAATATGAGCCTTCGCGGTTTTAGAGTTTGGCTCTTACTTTTCTTGTTCTTTATTCCTTGATCTTGTTGCTTTTGGTGGCTATTCTCATTTCTAACAAACTCAAGGTGACTTAACCTTCCCTTCTATATTTTTAATTTCAGCTACGAGCTACGAAATAAGAATGAGTAGAAGTCTACGGAGCATTCAGGGTGACTTTAACAGTGCCATTTTAGTGAACACGTCAGAGCTGAATCCTCAGCAAGCTGGCAACAGGGAGATCTTTACATTCTCACCCAAGCTTTTTGCCAATGAACCTGACCATGGACCTGATGGAGAAATACAAGGAAACCACGGAGTATATGTGGCCATGAGAGCAACAGATAGAAACTCCCTGAAGTCAGCTGTGTCCAACGTTGCCCTGGTGTCTCTGCTTCTCCCCCTGCACTCTGCTCCTGCACTTAGCAGAGATAATCTTATATTGAAAGGAGTTTTAATAGCAATGGGATTGGTAGGAATCATTTGCCTTACTATAGCTTTAATACACTGGACTTTAAACAGGAAAAGGAGGGTATTAAAGGAAGAGAATGGAACAAAATTACTATGAACAAATGCACAAAGTACTTTCCTTCTTAGATATAAGGCCCATGGCATTGCATTTATAGAAAATGCCAAAAAAAAGAAATTAGCATCAACCTGTGCTAAAATGCATTGGGCCTTTATATAATAAAGTTCAAGTTTTTACATAGTAGATAGACAAAAAAACATTTTATAATACTCATTTTAGGGGAAGAGTTAGAAAACCATTAGGTGTTAGTTAGAGAGAAACAATAAAAATTATTCTTCAAAGTAATGACTTTAAAAGCAGAGCTAGGGCAAAATTGAAGTGAAGCCAAGAGAAGCTTGTTTTATTGAAGTGGGAAAACAAGTTTTACATACAGAAAGGGGGTTGGATCTGAATTACACAGTATAACTGTCTACGTGAAGGAATTGTGTTCCTTTGATTAATTTTTCATTTCTCCTTATCTGTGCAGAGCAGGATGCTGGTTTATGACTGAAGAACAAGCCGTGTTTTATAGATGAAGCCCCTATTGTAAAGTTCTTTATCTCTTGCCATTCGGTTAAATATACTACAACTCAAATCCCTCTACTAATGCTCAATGAGGTCTTTTTCTTGCTGTAAGAGGAAACCTTAGAATGAGGCTACTGTCCTTATCCCTTTATACTGGCTTTGTAACAGAGGTCTACTGAATAATTATGTTTTTACACCCATTGAAGCAGCTTTTCAAGATATTGCCTTGGGAATAATTGAAAGAAAATAATTATAGCTCTCATAACACTTTAAGTAAAGAAGAAAAGAAATTGTTCTGAAATATATATATATATCATACAGTTTTGGTCTATTTCAAAGAAGAGGCCATAAGGGGAGGAACCTTTAGAAACAAGTAGCAGATTCTGACCTCTGGTTAAGTAAGAATCTACACTCCTTTCTCCATCAAGTGCAAAAAAAGGGGGGGGGAATGCAAATAACAAGGAAATAAAAATCCTCTTTCCTCTATTTTAACTTCCACTTATTTTTGAAGGGTTATTAAATCATAGTATCATTTGGTTTTAAAATTCATGAACTTAAAACTTTATTGAATTGCAATAAATTATAATGTACACAAGGCCTTGGTTTTATAACCAGGACTAGTTAAGAATGAAAATTACATCATGTTTTGGGGAGGAGTGGGGAGAAATGTGGAGAGCTGGGAAGAAAGGGAAAGCATGAAGCCTTAAGTGAGAGGCTCCCAAGTGCCAGGGAGAAAATCATCCAGCAATTCTCTCTGCATGGTCACCTCCTTGTAGTTCCTGTTACTGAGCATATCTGCCCTGTTAACATCTACATTTCACAGTGCCTAAATCTTCACGGACAAGAACTTTGAGGTCTTTGCAGTCCAGTTTCAGCTGGGGGGTGGCTCTTGCCCTCCACTGACATTACACCTGACAACCTGGAATTTGCTTCTCTATACCTTCAAGGTGGGCCAATAAAATACAGAGACAGGCCTGTGGTAGGTTTCAAATTCTCTGATGTTTTTCTCACTTTACAGACAAAGAGATGGAGTATTAAGCAGTAATTCAAAGTCCTGTGCTAGAGAATGACAGAGCTGTGTAAAAGCAGAACCTGGATATCAGATATTCCTTCACACATATTTAGGAAGGCAGGAAAGTTGCCAGGGATTATACTTATGAAGACCTAATTCTTTCAAGATCCATTAGCAGGAGAGAGCTGCTTGAGGGGGTGCATGTCTGAAACTAAACATTCAAGAGTCAGAAGGACTGAGAGCTGAGGCCAGCCTGGGCTATACAGAAAGACTATCTCAAAAAGTTAAAGCACAACAACAAAAACTACATAGGAAAAAAAGTAAGAAGGGATAAAAGAACTTGCTTTGTTTTCTTGTTTGTCTTCTCCCCTACTTTGTGAGGGCAGTTATGGAGCAAACAGACTTGACTTGCTTCTAGAAACCAGTGACGTGGAAGACGCGAAACTAAAGGACACCAGAGTAACTCACATTACAGGGCAGCGTGATCTCATGAAGTGGGGGAACAGTCTTGTGAGGGAGTAAAAGAGGCAACAAGAAAGAGGTGGTAAATACAAGAAGGCACTGAGTTAGAGATCCCAGCAATCAATAGGACAGAGCCATGGGAAAGTCACATTGAGCATTAACAAAGGACAAAAAAAGAAACAGAGACTCGAGATGAAGAGAAAAAGGAAGTCTGGGGTACCAGTCACTGTGGAGTACCAATGAATCTGGGCATCATTGAAGATTTGACCTGAGAGTCTAAGAGGAGGAAAAATGCCTGCTAGATGCCCAGATGTCAAGAAAGGCAAGAGAAATCTGGGAAACAAAAGTAATACAGACAAACATTATGATCTTTAAATGCCAGAGCAGGCATTGTTATACAGTAGATAAAACTGTTCTGGAGAGTAAAGAGAATAGATCCCCACTGTTTGCCTAGTTTTCAGAGAGAGTAGAGTAGATTAAACCTCAGTGAAAGAGATAGGTAAGTAGGAGATGGCAGATTTTTTATATTTTATTTATTATTTTTATTGTTATGTGTATGAGTATATTGTCTGCATGTATGTAAGTGCACCCATGTCATGCAATGCCCGCAGAGGTCAGAAGAGGGCATCGAATCCCCTGGAACTGAGTTATAGACCTTTGTTAGCTGCCATGTGGGTGCTGGGAATCAAACCTCAAGTCCTCTACAAAAGCAGCCAGTGCTCTTAACCTCTGAGCCATCTCTCCAGCCCAAGATGGAAGATTTTTATAGGCTATTGAGAAAGCTGAGGAATAAGAAGTTGCTGCTTATGCAGGTACTGTTGACTGCCCTCCAAACACCTTTGCACTTGCATGCTTATACCATAAAATCTATTAAAAACTGTATTGGTTTTTGCTTTGTCTACAGTCACAATGTATTGATTCTATACATATCATTTGTTTTTAAAATATTGTAAATCACATGGCACTAATAGTGGAGCTGCTCCTGTCAAACTAATTTTGCTGGCAACAATTATAACTACAGGCAAAATATGAAACAAGATTTTTGAAGACACTGGTCACTAATGAAAGCAGACAGAAGCTGGATGAAATGCTGTGCTTCCTAAGAGAGGACATCTAAGGGAGATCCACATTGAAGCAGCTCTCCTTTGAAGACTCTTACTGCTTGGAGCATCTGGACAATGCTTAAGCCGAAAGCAGTAATTTTTCAGGGTTAATAAACTAGAAGCAGGAGTTCTGGGGCACCAAAATAGTTGGAAATTGAGAAATGAAATCTGAGAAAGCAGGAGTCACAAAGGGAGAAGTCCCCAGGTCTACAGTCTTTCGATCTTTGGATGACTCATAAGCCACAGAGGAAACTTGTGGAAAAGAAGAGCTGAGAAATAAAAAAACCTGGACAAAGATTTTAGCTACCGCCTCTTCCTGGGGAAAAAGGGTTTAGAACTCAATCCATCTATGTGGGAAAGGTTGATAAGCACCTTGGGTTTCCTTTGGCTACAGTAGACACCATGTCACCAAACTAAGCTACACCTTAGAACTAAGGACAAATTTTAGACAAATCTGCTCTAACAAAGCCTAAAACCAAGTCTCCCTGAATGAAGATGACTATCAATTGAACTATTAATTAGAACGAAACTCAGAGAAAAATAACAATACAGAGTCTCTGCAACATACCATGCTGCATATAATAAAAATTACAAGACATGCCAGTAAGTAGTAAATATGCTAGGAGAAGTAAAGAAAACATCCAGAAGAAAAAAGTAATAACAATTATGATAAAGATGATAAGCTACAGGAAAATATAGACATAAATGATGAGAAGAAGAATTTTGAGAAAAATTTAAAAACTTATAAAAAGAAAAAAAATGGGCTGAGCGTGTTGGCGCCGGCCTTTAATTCCAACACTCAGGAGGCAGGGGCAGGTGGATCTCTGTGAGTTCAAGGCCAGTCTGATCTACGTAGTGAGTTCCAGGCCAGCTGGGGCTACAGATTGGTACTACAAAGGGAAGGATGAGATGATTTGAAGCCAAGATTATACGTTCATATGAAGGAAGAGGTAGCTACAGTGCAATAATGGTAGGGAACTTTAGTGTCTTATTTTCAGCAATGTACAGACTATTCAGAGTGAAAATCAGTAAATAAACACCAAATTTGAAATATGGTTAAGTTTCTGGACATATACAATCTGCCAAGATCAAATGATGAGGAAATGGGAAATCTGAACAGACCAATAATTAGTAAGGAAATTGAATCAGTAATGAAAAGTGTCCCATCAAGAAAAGTCTAGGACCTGATAGTTCCACTATTGAATTCTATACCCAAATGCGAAGAACCTTGTCGGTTCCTCTCCCACTATTCCAAAATTACACTGCTGAATTCCACCCAAATACATAAAGAACACATACCAATTTTTCTCCAGTTTTTCCAAAATTAAATAGAATGAGTAGTTCAAAACTCATTGTATGAGGTGGGTATTTCCCTGATATACAAGCTGGAAAAGGGCAGAACAACATGAAATATAAAACTACAGACAAATATTCTTAATGAATACACATGCAGAATTCCTCAAGAAAATACTAGCAAATTAAATTCAGCAGCATATAAAAATATCATTCACTATGATGGGTGAGATTTACCACAAGAGTGAAAAGATGACTCAGCATATCCAAATCAATAAATGTGATAAATCATCTTAATAGAATTAAAGACAAAACACATTATCACCTCAATGAATGCAGAAAAAAGCATTTGACAAAATTCATCATACTTTCATGGTAAAAACTTAACAACAAATTAAACATGGAATGTACCTTAACGTAATATAGACCATAAATAACAAACACACAGCTGACATTATACTGAATGAAGTTAAAGTGAAAGGTTTTTACTCTTAGATATGGAGAAGACAAGGTTGCCCACTTTACTCACTTCTACTAACACAGTACAGCAAGTATTACCAGAGTAATGAGGGGGGAAAAAAAGAAAAGACACAAGAACTAAAATGAAGGCAATAAGCTGTCCTAAACTGTCCCTATCTGCAGATAGTATGGCTTTATATACAGAAATCTCTAAGGATACATGTGCGCATGCACACACACACACACACACACATACACACACACAGAGTATATAATAAACAAATTAAGCAAAGTTGCAGGTACAAAATCAACACTGAAAAGCCAGTATCATCTTTATGCACCAGTAGCAAACTATCTGAAAAAGAAATTTAAAAAAAAATATCATGATAGTTACAAAATTCACTTCAAAATAAATGTATCCAGGGATATGAAATTTATAAAACATTTATGAAAGAGTTGAAAGAGTCAAGTCATTGTTGAGGAGGCCTTACCCATGGATTGAGTAATAAACATTGTTAAAATGCCTATACTTCCCAAAGTACTCCACAAATTCAATATAATCGCGCTATTAAGATGCCTATGGCATTCTTCACAGAAATAAAAAAGCAGTCCAGAAGGCTGTATAAAACTACAAAAAGGCCACATGTACACAAGCAATGTTTTGAGCCAGGATCTTACTATGTAGTCCTGGCTGAACTGGGCCTCCCTATGTAGATCAGGCTGGATTCAAACTTAGATAAACCCTCCTGCCTCTGCTTTCCAAGCAGTGGAATTAAAGGTGTGTACCACCACGCCTGGCCCAACAAAAGCAATTTTGAGCAAAGAGAACAGAATTGAAGACATTATACTTCATGACTTCAAAATATACTACTGCTGGGCATGGTAATGCATACCTTTAATCCCAGTACCAGGAAGGCAGAGGCAAGTAGATCTCTGTAAGATCAAGGTCAGTCTGATCTACATAGAGAGTTCCAGGCCAGTCTTGGTACTGGCATAAAAAGAGAAAGAGAGGCCAATAGTCTGGAAATCAATCCATGTACTTATAGCTAACTTATTTTCAAGAAGGCAGCCAAAACTACACAATGGAAAATGGATCATCTCTTCAATACATGGTGTTGGAAAAATTGGATATCCATATACAAGTGAATAAAATCAGA